AACATCAAATCTAATGACATGACTGAAAGATTCAACATCACAGTCTTCCTCTTCAGCAGCAAGTCTTGCCATTTCATCCAGATTCTTCTGCAGTCGTTTCCTTTCCTCCATGTTTTTCTCTCTAGCTGTGATGTCTGAAACGTTCTGATGCACAAACACACAGCTGGGATTCAGTCTGACCTTCTTCATCCTCATGAAGGCCTGAACTACAATCTGAAGAATGTCCTGCATCTCAGCAGGGTTTTCTCCAAAGATGTTGATCAAGGTCAGATTTGCAAGACCTACAGCAAATGTGGCAAATTCATTGTCATGATGTCTTGTTGATCTTCCGGCCAGTTCTAGAGCACAAAGACCCTCAGTATCAACAACCAGAATATAGTCAAAGTTCATCTGTGTTTTCATCTTGTCAGACTCTGACCAGCTGCATGAAAGCTCCTCTGGTGCACCTGCTGGCGCTGACGGCAAACTGGAGTCCAAACATGGCATTCAGCATGGTGGATTTCCCAGAGCTCTGGATCCCTAAAACTGACAGCACAAAGACTCTCTGGTCTCCCAGTTTCTGGACGAGTTAATCTAGAACAGCAGAGATCCAAATCACAGGAACATGAGCAGCATCTCCATCCATCAGCTCCAGTGGAAATCCAGAGATCATCATCTCTGCTGCAAGACTCGGGAGAGAAGAGAAGTGAACCTGCAGGTGTTTCTTGTTCTTCTTCACAGATGAACATGATTCATAGATCTGACTGATCTCCCTCATGATGTGCTCCAAACCAAAGGCCGCGGCTTGAAGATCCTCAGATATTCTCTCAAATTCAGTTTGTGCAGCTTTGAGTTGCAGTGATTTTTCATTATATCCTTTCAGTTTTATAACTGTTGACCACTTTTCAAAATGCCTGTGATGCAGAGCAGAAAGGCCCTTTGAAGTAAATTCATCCAGCAGGATTCCAAGCCATTTGATAAAATAGATCTTATTTGTATACATCCACTCAGCATGTGGACATACTTCATCAATAAAGAACTTCATAAACTCACTAAGGCAAGTTGCATGTTGCAACTCACGACCTATCTTCAACTCTGTTTGTTTTCTACTGATGTCCATGTCTGTTTTATCTCCTTGTGGTTCATGTAGTTCTTTGTTCTTCTGACTCCACTGATGCCACAGTTTCCCCTGATGAGACAGAAATGATTCTTTGATTTCTGTAAGATCTTTCTTCTCCAGTAAACTCAACATCTGCTGTGCTGCTTCTCTTCCTCTCCTGCAGTCATCATCATCTTCCTCATCTACTCTGATGTCTGAGTGTTTCGACACATCTTCAAGTCTGAAAGTGGAAGATGATTCTGAAAGACAATCATTTATAGCTCTTCTGAGTTCTTCAGATACATCTGACTGACTTCTGTTTTTTAGACCAATCCGATATTTCTTCTTTAACACAGTTACAGCAGATTCATCCTCAGTAAAAAGACAAATGAGTGGCTTTGAGTCCTTGTAGAGATTTTCAAGTTTTATCATGCTTCTGTCATTCCTGTCCAGTTGTGGTAGAAGGACAACATTGACTGAGGCCATTTCAGTGAGGATCTGCAGCTGTTTCTCATGGTCTCCTGCATCACCGTGTAGATTACAGAATGCTACACAGTCAGTGAATTTATCATATGATCCAGAGGAGCAGTACCAGGCGATCTCCACCACTCCATCCATCAGGACTCTGGTTCTGCTGCTGCCTTTGCAGTTCCTGTGGAACGTGTTGTGTTTCTCATTGATCAGACTGTTCATCAGCTGAGACTTGGATGAAGACACAGAGCCAAACCTGAAGAAAAACACCATTGGAGTTTCTGCCTTGTAGATTGACTGGGTTTGACTGATGATTTCATTGTTAGTGTTTCTCATCTTCCAGCTCTTCTTGACTTGTCTGAATGTCCAGAGAGGAAACTCGATCTGTTGTGTGAATGGATCAGGAACAAGCAGAGGCAGAGCGTACTGACACTGGGACAGTTTAGTCACTATCAGCTGCTTCAGGAAACCATCAGCACAATGAAACACGGCCATCTGAACATCCATCGGGTGGATTCGATCAGATTGACGTGTTCTTCTATTAGAAAAAGATATTGAAAATATATCACACTCATCCTCAGATGAATGATTGCCTCTTTGTTGCGTGTGATCCTGTTCATAGGGATCTTTAACACTAATGTTTCTTGCTCTGTAGTCCATCATCAGTAGTTTTTGTATGAAAGTCTGAATCAGCTCATCTTCAGCACAAGACTCATGGGACTGTAATGAATGTTTGGTTATCTGAAGAACATCTGCAGCTCTCAATTTGTTGTACCGCCTATGTGTGTAACGGAGTTTAAATAATGTTTAAATTAATTTAATATATATATATATATTGTACATTGATGATATAATAGTTAAAGGACTTAAATATTTTATTAGCTTGTGGAAATTGGTTATTTTTGCATTTTTCTTAACAATTTAATTCTTCTGGTTTGAAAAGCAAAGGTGAAGCAATGTCACAAAATATCAAGTATATGCGTTAATTCGAAGTGGTGGTTGGCTCCTGTTACTGGAGAGTACGCGTCTGCGGCGGTTTCTCTGCATTTATTCATTGGAAAGAGCTCGTTCAATCCAATCACCGCGCACTATTATGAATGAATAATAACTGCATTACTATGCACGAGAAAGTATCACTTCTGACTCTTCTGTCTCCCCTCATTGTCGGAAGTGTTCGTTTCCTAAGTGCGACAACACAAAAGTGTTGCTTGCGTTTCCAAGGCCCTGTCCTAAATGACACACTTCATGTGCAATTGCGGTCTTGCAATCTTGTGTCCCATTCGTCATTTTAGCTTTCAGAAGGGTGCTCGTGAGCTCCCCCTTTGTGCCCGCTATGCACCCTCGATGAACCAGTTACTATCAGATTGTAAATAAAATGCGTTTAAACTGCTGCTCTCTGCATCGCTCTCCATCTCACCAGTGGGACGCTACTGAGCTATGCTTTGATACAACCTCCCAGCCTTTCTCTTTTTTTTTTATCAAAATGTGCTTTTTTACCTTGGACTGTGTAATATAATTTCACCTTTATCTTTAACAGCAATTAAAATGTTTTTTAACAGCAATCAAGATGTTTTTAACATTTCAAAACACATTCTCATGTTAGCAGACAGATTACACTTTCACATGTGACCAACAATTCCACAACAGATATAAAATATCATAATGAAATATTAACTGACGGAGGTGACAGAACTGACGGAGTTGACACATCTGACGGGGGTGACGGAAACCTGAATTTGTAGTAATTTTAATCAAATACATTGAAACAATTAATTACTGTATTAAAACAAACAACAAACAGTGAGTATGTTATTGTTTATAAAGCTTTTATTCAAGAGTCACATTTAAAGGGGTCATATGATGCTATTTTAAAGATCATTATTTTGTGTATTTGGTGTAACAGAATATGTTGACATGCTTTAATGTTCAAAAAACATTATTTTTCAAATACTGTAC